AAATAATTCAAAAAATTGACATCTATATTTGGATATTTAAGTCATTCTATGACAATTACTGTTTTATCAACAGTATTCATTTATGATACTAAATTAAAAAAATCATGTAAAAACATGTATGTTTATTATGTTTTGGAAAAAAAAACAAGTAATGTTGTTAATAAAAAACAACATATCAAACAATTAAATGTTCATATTTATGTTATATAAATTATTCAAGATAGAGAAAGTAGTGATACATTACAATTTTACAGAAATTAACATTTTTAAAAACACAAATATTTAATGGTATAACAAATTGTTTTTGTCTTTTTGTTTTCTGTGTGTTTCTTTTCTGAATAAATAATTATTTTTTACTATAATTTACTTGTGTATTTTTGTTTGACACAAACAACAAACTATTACCATTAATTTAATTTACTGTGTATTATAACCATTATAAACAAGAAGATTTGTAATGACTTTTAAGAACTACATAAAACTATACTTTGGATTTTTCGTTTTTGTATGGTTTACCATCATTTTAGAATGTGTATAGTTTTGACAGTTTTATGGCTAGCAGTTTTTTTACTGGCTGACAAATCCTAATTAATTTATTCAACGAATTAATAATAATAGTTCCAAACACAAATTCTGGCTGAAAATATTCAAAAATTAACACGGGCTAGCCACCAGTTGAATTCAGTTTGCAGCACCTATTTTGAGAATTTTAATTGATTTAACCATATTAATATCGTTTATATTTTTAATGTTTTACATTTATTTAAAACCTTGTTATTTTCAAATTCAAAGAATTATAAAAATAAATATTCGCCGTTTATCATTTTAATGCCTTTGGAAAGTAAGAAAATTGTAAGTAATACATTTTATGCTTCTATATTTAAAAGTTTTTTCTATTTTTGTCATATATTTTCTTGATAAAGTTTAGAGCAAAAAACATTTGAAAGATCATAGTTATAATTTTTATTTTTAAATAAATACAAAATATTTATACATCAAAAAAGTAATAATGCAATCAAAATAATTAAACATAACACCCAAGAGTTAAACATTTTTATGTTGTTTGGCAAAATTAAAACATAAGAAGGAAAATACGTGGCGTAGCACTCCAAAAGCTGTTAAAATTGTATATTTAATTATTAATATATTTTGTGCCTAATCAAAAAAATAATTATATTTTAGGTAAAAATGTATTAGATTTTATTTATTATATTAAATTAATATTTAAATTCAAAATTTAACCATATGAAAACAATAAAATATAGTACAGAAAAAAGTGATTATTCAATATTAATAAATGTATTAAAAAAATCCCAAAATATTATATTAAATTAATGAAAAAAAAACAAAAAATACAAGACCCGATTTGTTAAATACAGCCATTAATAGTTCAATGGCTTTTAACAAAA